CGGAGCCAGTTCCCCAGCCAGTGGATCATGGTGACGTCAAGGCCACAGTTAGCCAGTTTAGCCAAGAAAGTACAATAACTTTCTGAAGTACATTCAGAAAGTTATTGTACCTGTGAGAAAGTTTAGTCTTTGCCGAAGTTCAAAATGTGTACCTGTCCATTTTCATCCTGGACGTGATCCCAGAATGCTGAGTACCTTCAGATCGTTGCCTTGAGTAGAGGCTGTAAGAGTTAAACCTCTCTTAGAACCAAGCCCTTGTGTGGCCAGAATTCCCTTCTTAAACTATAAATACATCTACATCTTTCCATCCTCTACATTATTTTAGTAACAAAGTGTTTCAAATCAATTTAATTTGGTAAAGGGAGGACATCCTTCAAAGATGTCCTTCAAAGATTTGTAATAAAAATTAAGTTTTACAATGTATTGTTATGCCATGGAGGTATGGTTAATTGGGGGTTATCTGGATGAGGAGGAAGCTTTATTTGTTTTCTGTTTTTGAGTTTATTTTGTTTCTTAACCCCATAGCAAAAACATGAAGGGCAAGTCTAGTCTTCCTTGTTTTTACTCAAAATTTCTCAGCAACTGCAACATATTTTATTATAAGCACTTACAACCTTTAATTGCAGCATGTATGTGGTGAATTTTAAATAAAAGTGTCTTTTCTTCAAAATACTTGTTAGTTGCTGAAGTTAAATAGGTATAAACAAAGGCTTTTTAAAGAGTGTGATTTAGAAATATCTTCCTCGGTTACTTTGCTTTTTCTTTCTTGATCTTTTGCTGTGCTTTTTATAACAGGTTAGGTGTATGTATCAAAATGAATGTGTTATGCATTTGCTTTACCAATGGAAGATAAAACTGCCTGAAGGAAATAAGACTTTTGTACATGCTTTTTCTAGATGTATTTCATCATGGACAATTTCACTTGTGTGTATCTGTGCCAACAGTGATTATTAAAAACTTGCAGCAATAAATGGGCATTGTATTGTGACAAGCATTGATGCCAAGGGAACAAACCCTTCAAATTTACCACAGGGCTTGCTTTGGGATAAGATATATGCCTTTTCATCCAGGAATTTCTGTGTAAGTTTGGTTGAGTAAAAATTGCTTCTGGAAAACTGGTGTTTCCCACCTTGGTCCTGTATTTTGTTCAGTGTAATTCTGGCAGTGTGTCAAGGTCTGCTCATCCTGAGGCCATGTCCTCACTGCCACTACCTGGGAAAGTGTTAACATTGGACACTGGTAGAGCAGGAGGATGAAAATTCAGATAACTGTTTCTGGGTCACCTCCACTTAATGTGACCTGAACTCTGGAGTCAAAACAAACACCAAAAAAGCTTAAATTCTAGGTTTGCTTATGATTAATGCTAATTTGTGACCCTTATTATTAATCAGTGCGTTATTTTCCTCCTTAAGAGGTTACAAGCAGGAAATAGAAACCAGCTCCATAATACAGCAAATGAAACCCCATCCACTGAACGTGTTTCTAGGTAGAATCTGCCATGTTGCTGTTTTGGGCTATGTGATCTAGTGTTGGAGCTGCATACTAACCTCTAGAAAATAGTCTTTTCTTGCAGTTGGTTAACTTAGTTCTGTAACTATAGTAGTAGAATTTTGTGCTATAGTGTTTGAAAGTAGGGGAGCCACGGTTTTTAAAGCAAGGTCAGGCAAAATACGGGCTCAGGGGCCAGATCTGGCCCGCCAAATGTTTCTATTTGGCCCATTGCTGCTCCTCTGAAGGAGAATAGTATTTGCCTGTGGCTGGCCCATCTTTCGATGCCTCTTGCTCTTCTCCCTTCCTCATACCATAGCTGGCTCCAGTGGCCAGGCAGCCACTTCCCAGCCCGGCCTGCCCTGCCCCCTAGCCGCCAGGGTATGCTCCAAAGCATGGGGAATTGAGCTTCTGCCCAGCAAGGCTGTCTGCACACAACTCTGACCCTGGGACTGTTTGCAGACTAGACAGCCCAGCCCCCAGTGCGAGTCGAAGCTCAGGTATGGTTCTCCCTGGTGATGGGGTAGGGGGTGCAAGAAGAAGGGGGGCCAAGGGCTGTAGGTTATCTAGGTTTGGCTGGGCTGGTGCTGCACTGTGTTCCTGAATGCCACTTTGGGTTGCGTGGGTGCAGCTGGGGCAGCTGGTATGGCTCTGCCCTGACCCAGCCACGTACCAAGGACACGGGACAGAGGAGGGTGTGCTCGGCAAGCTGTGGAGAATGCATGCACTTGTGCATCTATGCACATTGTGTGTGGCCCTGAACAGCTCACCAAAACTGGTTAAGTGGCCCTCTACCTCAAATAATTGCCCACCCCTAGTTTAAACCCTGCTAATGATAAATGGCAGCAAAAGGTTGTTATAGTTGCACGTAATAATAAAAAAAGAGTTTCTTTAACTTAAAGCTGGGAAAATGCATACAAAATCCTGCATTAAAAAGGTATTAGGTTGAAAAGGCAAGAACTCAAAAAATGGAAAATGAAATTAAAGCAAACTGTGCAACCTTGATTTCCTTTTCTATGCATATGTACTATTATGGTCTGATCATATAGAGTTACATCATAACTACCTAGTTACAATTAAAAATAACATATTAACAGCACCATTTATTATAAACCCCAAGGTATATGTAGGCATATAAACTTGAATTTAAAAAATGTGTTCAGACTGAAATCTGATGTAAAAAACTGTAACTGTTATTCCTGATAAAGACTTTACCTGCCTGAAAATATTAATATGCCAGTAATTCATAACTTAGTGCACCCCTGCATTACTGAATTACACTCAACTCCTATCGCATGGGCCAAATCTGGCCTGCAGCACTGTATCTTTTGACCCACAGGGCTCCCCATGGGTCTAGTAATTTGGTGGTGGAGGAGCAGTGACATTGCTCCCTTGTTGCCAAATTTCCATATCCATGGGGAGCCCTGAGCCATAAACAAGGCAGTGGATCCTAGCATGCAGAGCTGGACATCCAGGGCCCCAATCCCAGCATATGGGGGGTAGGAGAGGGCAGTGCCAGGCCCTTGGGACCCAATCCCAGTACACAGGGGGTAGGATGGGGCAGTGGTGGGCCCCTGGGACCTAATCCTGGCATGCAGGGGGATGGGAGGGAGTGATGCCAGGCTGAAGAGCCCAATCCAGCCCACAGACTGGCTCTGCACCCCTCATCTGGCTCAAGGGGCCAAAAGGTTGAGCATAACTGCAGTAAGGTAATATTTAGATTCTTTCCTATCAAAGATCTGTGCTCCAGTGGTAATGCTGAGTAACAGTTCCAGAACAAAAAAATCCCTCCAACGTTCCCTAATGTTTCTTAAACTCTGATTATCTCCATTGTGTTAAGTTTGTTCAAATTGTGCAGTTTAACAGATTTCAAAAACTGAAAAATCTGGCTCATGAATCTGAAGAGGTGACCAACTCTCTTTGCTAACTGGTGCTTTCTTCTTCTTTTCAGTTGAGACAATCCCAGTCATACTGCACAGACACGGAATGCCTTCAGGAGTGTGAGTAACTTCGAATTGGGAATGCTTGGGTTTGGGACATCTATGGAAGCCAAGATGAGCAGCAATAATTAAAGCCCAATTTGTCAACATTTGAAAGGCTGGAGTTAGTTTTAGTATTACACAAACCTACCAAATCAAGGTTGCAGGGCTGGGATCGTTTTGTTTTCTCTAGAAAGGTTGTGATACGCATTAATCTCTGTGAGTTTTAAATAATGCATGTTAGGGACCATGCTGAGCAGCCTGGAAACCTACTAGTATCAACATGAGTTTGTAGGAGCATAGTTCCTCATGATCTGGCCAAAGTTTGACTGAATCAAGCCTAATACTTTTCAAGATTGGAACTTGTACTGTAGTCCTTGCTGATACAGAGAAGTTCTAAATAGGACTAACTCCATTCAGGAGGACGACAATACTTCTACAGGACAGAGGTGTGTGCCAGAGAAAGATGGCTTTAATTTCCCTCTAGTTCTGTGATAGTTCGGCCAGTGAAGACTGTAATGGGGCCATGCTAAATCAGCACAGTCCCTGGAGGTCCTTACCATGCCCCTCTGAGACAAATGCCATTTATTTTGGGGTCTGGGTAGCTTTTACACCCTCTGCTCCAACAAAAATTTCTGCAATTGGAAGAGGGCTGTACCAGCATCTGCCTATGAGGGAATCTGCATGAAGTGTACAACCTAAAATATGCTGGTGGTGCACTTCTATTTAAGTCAGTTACCATTTAATACATTTACATATAGCAGAAAAAGGGAGGGGTGGGGGCAGCAATCAGCCAAACCTGGAAGGATGAGAAATACCCATAGTAGAACATAGGCATAATTACGCCTCGATCATCCCTGACCAGTAGCTGTCTAACCTCATCTGGAACGTATCTAGTGAGGGTGAGTCCGCAACTTCCCTAGGCAGTCTATTACACTGCCTCACCATTCTAACAATGAAGACGTTTTTCCTGATATCCGATCTAAACCTACTTTGCTGCAGCTTCAAGCCAATGGTCCACATCCTTTCTGCAGCCAGAGAGAAAAGGTGTTTTCTTTCCCTCTTACTTATGGTAGTCTTTCAAGTATTTGAAGACTGTTATCATGATCCTCATAAACACCTTTTCCACAAGCTGAACTTGTTTAGCTCCTGCAGCCTCTCCTCGTGTGACTTGCTTTCCAAACCCTTTATCTTTTTTGTTGCCTGATGCCTGGACCCTCTCTAACTTCTCCATGTCTGTAAAATGTGGAACCCAGAACTGCACGCAGTACTTCAGACGAGGCCTAACCTGTGCTGAGTAGATACACTATTACTTTCTGTGTCTTGCACCTAATGCTTCTATTGATGCATCCCAAAACCACATTCACCTTTTGTGTGGCTGCATCACACTACAGTCTGTGGTCTACCAAAACTCTCAATTCCTTTTCCATAGTGCTGCCTTTGACCCAGATGTCACCCATTTTGTATTTGTTTTTGATCATTTCTCCCACAGCATAGTGCTTTGTATTTGTTAGCATTGAACTTCATCCTGTTAGCTCTAGCCTGGTTTTCAAATCTGTCAAGATCCTTCTGAATTGAACTCCTATCCTTCAACGTGTTTGCAGTCCTTTCCAGTTTCATGTAGTCTTTAAACTTTGCTCAAGAATCTTGCTATGCCAGCATCCAAATTTGTTAATAAACATGTTGAAGAGCACCAAATCCAGGACAGACCCTTGTGGGACTTGATGCAAAACCTCCTGCCATTCTGACACAGACCATTATGATTTAGTTTTGCTTGCACCTATTGAGCCAGTTATCTGTCCACCTTCTGGTAGTTTTGTCCAGCCCACATTTGTCCCATTTGTTATGAGAAGGTTTTGTGGGATCTTGTTAAAAGCCTTGCTGAAATCCAGATGCATTGTATCCATAGCATTCCCTTCATCCACCCAAGTAGTTACTTTGTCAAATTAGTAGATCAGATTTGTTTGACTTGATTTGTTCTTAGTAAATATATGCTAGCTGCTTGTGATCAGCCTTCCTTCATCCAGATTCTTGCAAATGGCCTTCTCTAGGATATTTTTG